AAAAAGCCAATTTAATTGCCTAAATAAAAACTGGCCAAATTAAGAAGTGTTCATGGGATTTTTTTTTTTTATTGGAAGTTGGTGGAACTCTTTAAAGAAACTATRTTTGATTTAGGTGGAATTCCAATTGGACAAATAGATGTGCTCAGTCTTGCCTCTGTAGAATCTAATTTTCATTTACTTCCTACTGTCTTTATACTCCATTTTGGGTTTGGAGTAGATTTAAGGAGGTTTGAGTTAATAATAAAAAAAAAACTATTGTTAAAATTAACAGTGTTTCAATAGATGTAGTTTGGGAAACTAGAAAGAGTTCTACTTACTATGTAGGTTGACAAACTATATATTTTATTATTTATTATTGGGGGGGATGGGGGTTAAATGTACTTTGTATTGACCATATTGGTGAGGTATGCATTTTAAAGAGTAAATATGACCTTGAATCTTTTCCTTATACTTTTCTTCTCAGGTTTTAGAGTTTCAWTTTGTAGCAAACAGCTTAATATTTGAAAGAGAGGCTTTTATAGTACTACAATACAAGATGCTGTATATGTCATTAAAATGTGGCAAGTATTTCTTTGCAAATTGTTTGTGCAGTCATTAAAGGACAAAGGGATAAATATCATTGAGAAGGCTAGTTGGTCATTTGTCATTACTATGATGGTGGCAGACCTTCATTTGATAATAAAGAAACACTGTGGACGAAAAAGTAGCCAAATCAAGGATTATGACTTCCCATCTATTTCTCCACTGGTGGGACTCTATTTTTAGCTCTAGGTTCTCTTCTCTGATTGCCTTTCTGTGCTGATTGCAAGCATTTCAGCCTCTGGTTTTTGGATCTAAAAGGACCTACCCTGACTTATAGCTCTGAATCCTCTTGACTAGGAAGATTAGGAAGTAGCCTTCTTATATTTAAAACTGRTAATATTTTAAAATGTTTATTGCATGAAATTGACACAGAAGGCCAAATTGCCTGATTTCMAACTTCACTATAGCCAAGGCCTGAGTTAACTGCTGAGTTGAGGTAGAGGGTAAATAGATGTTTAAGTTCAGAACTTTGGTATYAGACAGGATAGCAGTTAGATGACTTGTCCTTTTCAGGATAGAAAATCATTTTCTTTTAGAGTGGCATAAAGCYAGATACTTAAAATTAGAAAGAAATGGGAAAGAAGTACACAGACCTGACTGTGATTTTGCCTAAAAGTTTATAGTGGGCAATCAGTTTTATTTGGAGAAAAATGCAATAAACAGTATTTGTTGAGTACTGAAGTATTGGGTACTGTTCTAGGCCCTTCATATGCACCAATTTATTTGGTCTTCACAGCAACCCCTTTGATGAGGGTGCTTTTACTAACAGTGTTTTACAAATGAGGAAACTGAGATTTGAGTGAGGCTGAGAAGCTTTCCAAAGCTCACCTAGCTGGGAAATGGAATGGGGGTGAGGAGTAGGAAGCCAGGCATTGTGACTCTGAGCCACCCACACCTGCCAGGCCAGCCTATAACTTTACAGGGTTCTTTGCATGAGCACAAGGAAATCCACATAGCATGTTTCCCAATACTTAAATCTTAATGAAAAAAGCTCATAGATATTTATATAAATCTGTTCTATTCCCCTACCTTGACACTTGTAATCTTCAGAATGTCCTAGAAGGCTAGGTTTGAATTTTGATTTCTTGCACTTCCCCGAGCTCTGAGCAGGAATGCAGTTGGGGCAATCAACCCCTGGCCTGGGTGTGTTCCCYTTTGGTTCCCACTCTGGTACAGTCCCCCCTGGTGAGGCTTTTGTGTCCATTTGCATGACCAATCTTTGTATGCATTTTTGGCCACCCTTGACCATGCATGCCTCTGGCTTACCCCAGATCTGGTAGGACACCCTGCATACCCTGGAAGCTGTTTGGTATTACRTGAGAGAATTCTGGGGACCTGAAGTTCAGCTTAAAATCAGGTTTCAGATAGGTGGGTCTACTTAGTCCTTGGATATCTCCAGGAAGGTAGGGTGTGGCAGGAGTAGAGCCCAGGGATGTGACCCCTCCTACCCAGTCTGAGGGCTACATTGTCCGACAGCATTCATGGAAAGGAATCATACAGTTTGTATACATAGATGGATGTTTTTTATTAAATTCTAAAATGATTAGCTATGTGTTTATAGTTCTTTTTCATTTCATCTTCTTGTGGGAAAGCTTGTACAGAGAGTTAATTTTTTTTTAGTTAGGAATTTGGTTGTAATGGAACTGTTAGGTTAAATCTACACCCATATGTAAGGATGTCTATTTTAAGGCATTTTCATATCTCTTCCAAACCCTGACTGTTTTTAAGAGCATTTGAAATCTGGCATACTGTCTACTCTGACAAGTGTTGCAAGATGAATTACTGGATAAGTCATCGATTTTTTTTTTCAGTCAAGATAACATCTGTACTTCCAGTTTTGCAGTTTGSTCTGCTTTGGAAAAGAAAGTAAGTTGCTAAGCTCAAATTATTGAAATGCCAGTAGCTGCCTAGCCATGAACAATCTGTGTGCTGGGGTAATTGCTGTGCTATTCTGACTGTCCATTTGGGGTCTTCCTTTTGCTTCAGGCATCTGCCTTTTTAAAAGGGGCCTCTAGCTTATTACATTTTTTTTCATCTTCCCTGACTCTAAAATCCTCATCCTATAAAAGAGTGTTTTTTGAGTTTTCAATGGTGACACAGAAAGAAATMCCCGGTAGCTTGCTGCCAGATACATACACAGACACATAGATATATAGAAAAAGAGTTTCACTAGGCACCAGTTAATCTTACTCCATGTACTAAAGAAAAATTATGAGTCATCTAAACCATGATTTTGTTAATGTTTAAATGCATCATTCTACAAAAATCCCCCTATATTTACAAAAAAATAAATGCAACTTTCTATTCTGTTTTATTTTCTGTAAGTGCTGGTTGAGACCCCCAATTGATTTCCTAACACAGTTGTGAGTTGTGACCTGCAATTTTAAAAAAATCTTACTTGAAAACAATCAATGAGGTGAACAGAGAGCCTACATTTTGGGAACAAATTTTTTGCCACACATACACACACACACATCAAAACACTAATCTCCAGGATATATAAAGAACTCAAAAACATTAACACCAAAAAAACAAACAACCCAATCAGTAAATGGGCTAAGGAGCTGAACAGACACTTCTCAGAAGAAAACATACAATTGATCAACAAGTATATGAAAAAAGTTCAACATCTCTAGTAATTAGAGAAATGCAAATCAAAACTACTCATTTCACACCAGTCAGAATGGCAGTTATCAAGAATACAGACAACAATAAATGTTGGTGAGGATATGGGAGGATATGGGGATATGGRTATGGCGGGGAAAGGCACACTCATACATTGCTTGTGGGACTGTAAATTAGTGCAACCAATCTGGAAAGCAGTATAGAGATTCCTTAGAAAACTTGAAATGGAACCACCATTTGACCCAGCTGTCCCACTCCTTGGTCTATACCCAAAGGACTTAAAATCAGCATCCTGTAGTAATGCAGCCACATCGATGTTCATAGCAGCCCAATTCACAATAGCTAAACTGTGGAACCGACCTAGGTGTCCTTCAATAGATGAATGGATAAAGAAACGATAGTATATATACACAATGGAATATTACTCAGTGATAAAAGAGAATAAAATCCTGGCATTTGCAGG